AATTGCAGTAGAATTACACAAAGCAAAATGCTACACATTTCATATGAGTTGCGCTTTTTATAGACATGCCTGGTAGAATCATTCCCAAACAGGCTTTGCAGACATCAACTGACACAGTTCACATTCAACAAATGGGGAGAAGTTTCTATCTGCTACCTGACCAACAGCATCAAGCTATTTTTACTCACAGTTCTTTTTTCTAGAAGAAAAAAGGCAGAAATTTACTCTGGTATCCATCAAAATCTATAATAAGGAGAATCAGTGAATCAATAGCACATTATTTTCTCGCTTATTTAGTCCTACTCTAAGGCTGTTCACCACCCCAGACCACAAAAGATTTTGCTGCAGGGTTAAGATTTATGCTTTCCTCGAAATGGTCAATGCTTTCACCCGACTTAGACTCATAAGTGATAGTACTGCCTTCCCTTTAAAATGTCAGCAACCCTGTAATGTGGGAGCAACTTTAATGACTACATCCATAGTTGCTATATAAAATTCATTGCACTAAGAGGAAATTCAATTTTCTCTGTTATTTTTCCATTTTTGTTGTATTTATTCCACAATTTAATTTCATATCAAAGGGATCATTTGTGCAAAGGAAGATAAACACATCCAAGTAGAGTACAGAAAAATGCACTTCACAATAGGCAACAGCAATTTGTTCTGACAGCCTGTAAGACATAGAAATGAAACTGTTTAAAAGATAGAAAGGATGTCATGGATATATTTCAGACTTGAAAATAATCACCCACACATTTCTCTCATTTAAAATGCCTCTTAAATCAGCTTTTCTGAAATAAGACTAAAATATAGCATTAACTAAAGTATAGAGGCAGAAAGAGGCTGAAAATGACCCTGAATTTGGAATGGAAACATTAAGTAGGGAAAGTACCAATTTCTCATTTTACAGATGGGAAAGCTGAAACCCAGGGAGGAGAAATGACTTGTCTAAGGATAGCTCATGAAGAACTGGGATTAGAACATAAATCTCCTGAACATAAAAGGCTTTGAAAGTCATGCTAAGATTTTAAAATTTTATCCTAGAGGTCAGTGGTTCTCTACCATGGCTGTGCATTGGAATTGCTAGGGGATTAAAGGGTTAAAATACAAGACTCCTATTCAAGATTATGACTCAGTAGGACTGGACTGGAACTCAAGTATCTGTATTTTTTTTTTTTAAGTCCTCCAAGTAATTCTGATGTTCAGCCAGGATTGCAAACAACTGCCCTGAATGATGAAGAAACTCGAAGAATATAGGACTGAGATTATGAAAATGATGGTTTGGGGAAATACCAATTTGTCATTGGTAGTAGATTGGAGAATAGAGTGAGACTACGAAAATTAAAACTTGTTCTTTTAGGGGGAGGCAGATGGATTGCATTAGTCTAAGAGTGAAAGGAGATAAAAATTCATACTAAGGTGGTGTCAGGGAAAAAGTACAAGAAGAACAAGAAGTTCTCTTCCTATCCACCTCAAATGCAACAGGAACATTGACTACAGAGACCTCCAAATCCTCACTCCCTTCTACCCATCCCCTTGCAAGCAGAAAGCTCTTCCCCAACAGCTCACAGTATTCTCATTGGACCACCAGTCATCGAAGACCTCTCCAGGTCACAAAGGAAATGAAGCTAAATTGGGAAGAAGGAGCAACCCATAGAGAGGTATCTTTAAAATTATGGCAGGTTACTTATATTGACCATGCCCCCTCCCCCCTCGAGTAAGAGCTTCAAGCATGTCCATCCTCTAAACGTTGCACATCTTACTCGTTGTGGTTGTATACACCCATCCCCTCCTCCCCCGTCCCACCCTCCTGACACCCGATAAATGTTACTCCTATATGTCCACTTAGGTGCTGCTCAGTTAATACCAATTTGCTGGTGAGTACATGTGGTGCTGGTTTTTCCATTCTTGAGATACTTCACTTAGTAGAATGGGTTCCAGCTCTATTCAGGAATATACAAGAGGTGCTATATCACCATTGTTTCTTAAAGCTGAGTAGTATTCCATGGTATACATATGCCACATTTTATTAATCCACTCATGAATTGATGGGCACTTGTACCCCCATAATACGCTAATATAAAAAAAATAAAAAAAAAATCACACACAAAAAAATTATGGCAGGGTGAGATGTCTTCCTAGAATTCTCAGTTTACATTATTGCATAAAATATTATAATAAATATATTATACATAATAAATTATATAATATAATAAATATTATTATAAATAATATTATTATAAATGGTTGCTGCAATCTGAACGTCAGTACCGTATCTTTGCTATATGCGCATTAAATAGACTTGTGTATTACCCTAGAAACCTATTCACCCTTTATAATATTAGTTTCATGGGGGAAATTCTTTACATATCCAACAGCTGGCATACAAATGAGATATTGGCAAACAATACATTTGCCAGCTGTGAATTGCCTGTATATGATTAAGTATCAATGGAATGATATAGAGAATAAATGCTCCAGAACTGAAGAAGAAAACCGACTACTGTGTACTGGGACAGCTACAAAATCCTTGTGACTGAGGTGGGTGTGATATGTAGGATTTGAGTTAGGGGAAAGATCTGGGCACTCCAGGAAAGAGAAACAAGACAAGAAGAGGCTTAGAATCAGGAATTAATATAGTATGTTCAGGGAGAAGATCAGCTTGGCTTGAATGAAGATTAAGGCTACAGAGTTCTGAGGGGAAAGGTTAGACAGATAAGATAGATACAAGTGATGAAAAGCCTTGAGTATCAACACCTCAGTATACAGTAAGGGAGAGAAGCTAAGGCACAAATAGTGAGAGTAATAGTCACCTTATAGGGAGAGAATCCCATATAATCTCTAGCATAGTGTTGTGTCAATGTACCAAATAACAAGCATTAACTGAGAGAATCTTATAAGCCTGGCGGGAGAAGCTGGGTATGACAAGAAATCAAGAAGTTTATTGATGTTTTAAAAAAAAATTTTTTTTTTTTGGAGATGGGATCTTGCTCTTTTGCCCAGGCTGGAGTGCAGTGGCAGCATCATAGCTAACTGCAACCTCCAACTCCTGGGTTCCAGTGATCCTCTCACCTCATCCTCCCCAGTAGCTGGGACTACAACCACAGGCTACTATGTCTAGTTATTTTTTGAATTATTATTTTTTGTAGAGACAGGGTCTCACTATGTTTCCCAGGCTGGTCTTGAACTCCTGGCTTCAAGTGGTCCTTGTGCCTCGGGCTCCCAAAGCACTGGGATTAGAGGCATGAGCCTGGCCAGATCAATGCTTTTAAATCATAGATAATTTACATGATTGTTGCACGGCTGTTTGAAAGTAATTATAATTTTTATTTCATTATTAGCTATCTAATAATTTTTATTTCATTATTGGCTGTCTTTATAAACTAAGTCCACATTTTAAAGAAAACTTGTTTTAGCAAAAGCTGTAAAGCTGCCTGAACCACAAAAAGAGAATAGACAAAGAAAATGTGAATGACAGGTGCATTTAATGTAACATTCAATCTTTAAAAGCAAATATGTTTGTTATTTTCCAAATTAAATTCTGTGTGGCCTCCAATAAAATGGAAAAGCTTGCATAAAACAGATCCTTCACCTCATTTCTTGCCAAATGCTGATTATTCCATTTCTCTTTGCACTTACAACACTGATATGGTGTCACCTCAGGACAAGCCTGTATTAGTATAGTATTCACCTAAACTGATGCTGAGTCCAGACATCACTATTTAAAATGCCAAAGGTGATGAAAGTCAAGTGAGTAGGAAATTTTAATCGTAAAGGTACTTCAGATTCAAAAGGGAAAAATATATATTTCAGCTATATAATCTTCTATGCTATATTTTCTGGAAATAAATGTAGTATTTAGGATTTCATAAATGTTTCATATCCAATTCGCAAATGTTCGAATTCAAATATAATTGAAAAAAATGGTATTAGGAAAAGATACCTATGCCTCCGAGAATTTAGAAATGTACCATGAAACTAAGAAAAGACCTCAGGTATAGCCTGAGTAAAATCAGTGAATTTAGCAATGACATTCCTCTAATTCTTTTTGTAAATGGTTCCTTATTTGATTGGTAGGTAACAAAAGAGTTTCTGTAGTCCTTTCCAACTCTGAAATTCTATTAACAAAATTAGAAAACTGAAGGAAAAAACTGTAGTATAAGAAGTATTTATGTTTCATACAAATTCTGTTAGGTACATAGTGATAAATACCTAATTGAATAGAATTGGCATTTAATAATCAATGACACTGAAAGGTTTTCTCATGTGTACCTATGTGCCCTATAAAATGTACTTAATGTTTTCTATTTTGCTTTTCTTCCCTCTAAATATATATAGTGGGCCGGAAAGAACAAATGATTTCACAGTAGGAAAAAAAAAACCCAAAAAACAACTGAGAAACATTTTTCAAACATAACTTAAAAATTTATTTCAAAACTTAGTTTAAAAAAGTTTCCTAATTATTCATAGGCTTGGAGTGTGTTGCAGGGCGTAGATAATTTTAGCCTCCGGACTTTGTAATTCGATAGACCTCCATTTGATTTGTTGACGGTAATGAAATTGTATAATAATATATACAGCACTAGAAATCATAGATCTCAAAAGCTATGATTTAGCGATGAACCCCAAATGCTGCTCAGCCTCTCTATACTGAAAAGAAAACAAATGCTTTTAAACCTGGGTAAGATGTCTAAGGATCCTTCTAACAGTGTCTATGAAGTTATAAAGAAGGTGTCCTTAATACAAAAAACAATCTTTTTCCAGAATCTCATGTTCCTTCTCTTAGTTCTCAGAATGTATCATTACAGAGACATGGGGTTTTGTTCATGCTGCTCTCTGTAATGATATTGTCCACTGAATCCACTTAGAGAACACTTAGCAATTCTTTCAAGGAGAACCATTTGATCCAGGCCTCCCCAAAGAGCCTCAAACTTGGATTTTTGACCTAAGTAAAATACACTTAGTCTCAGAACTATACTGTCAGGATTAAAGAAAAACAGCATGGGGGGGAGGGACGCGGCGGCGGCTGCGGCAGCGGCGCTGATAATGAGTTTTCTCGGAGGCTTTTTTGGTCCAATTTGTGAGATCGATATTGTCCTTAATGATGGAGAAACCAGGAAAATGGCAGAAATGAAAACTGAAGATGGCAAAGTAGAAGAACACTATCTCTTCTATGATGGAGAATCTGTTTCAGGCAAAGTAAACCTAGCCTTTAGGCAACCTGGAAAGAGGCTAGAGCACCAAGGAATTAGAATTGAATTTGTAGGTCAAATTGAACTTTTCAATGACTAGAGTAATACTCATGAATTTGTAAACCTAGCGAAAGAACTAGCCCTACCTGGAGAACTGACTCAGAGCAGAAGTTATGATTTTGAATTTATGCAAGTTGAAAAGCCATATGAATCTTACATCGGTGCCAATGTCCGTTTGAGGTATTTTCTTAAAGTGACAATAGTAAGAAGACTGACAGACTTGGTAAAAGAATATGATCTTATTGTTCACCAGCTTGCCACCTATCCTGATGTTAACAACTCTATTAAGATGGAAGTGGGCATTGAAGATTGTCTGCATATAGAATTTGAATATAATAAATCAAAGTATCATTTAAAGGATGTGATTGTTGGAAAAATTTACTTCTTATTAGTAAGAATAAAAATACAACATATGGAGTTACAACTGATCAAAAAAGAGATCACAGGAATTGGACCCAGTACCACAACAGAAACAGAAACAATCGCCAAATATGAAATAATGGATGGTGCACCAGTAAAAGGTGAATCAATTCCAGTAAGACTATTTTTAGCAGGATATGACCCAACTCCAACAATGAGAGATGTAAACAAAAAATTTTCAGTAAGGTATTTTTTGAATCTAGTGCTTGTTGATGAGGAAGACAGAAGGTACTTCAAGCAGCAGGAGATCATTTTATGGAGAAAAGCTCCTGAAAAACTGAGGAAACAGAGAACAAACTTTCACCAGCGATTTGAATCTCCAGAATCACAGGCATCTGCTGAACAGCCTGAAATGTGAACTGAATAGGAGAAAAAAAGAAAAACAAAAAGCTCCTATAACCATTGAGATTAAGTTCAACAGGTTAAAGATGGTTGCAGCACATAGAGGGGAAAAGGCCAAAACTCCATATATATTAGTCTTCCTTTATATTATATAGTGCTGCATTTATTTTATGATATAATGAAATGTTCTTCATGTATATACATTTAAAAAAGTGCTTTCTTTGAAACACTGGAACTTTCTTAAGCTGCCTTTTTTTTTACTGCACACTTTGATTTGATGATAAGCACTCAGATATGCATCAGCATAAACATTAAAGATTTTCACGTGAGTAGGCTGGTATTTGTAATTTTGCTTTTTTTTTTTTTTTTTGAGACAGAGTCTCACTTTGTTTCCCAGGCTAGAGTGAGTGCCGTGGCGTCAGCCTGGCTCACAGCAACCTCAAACTCCTGGGCTCAAGCGATCCTCCTGCCTCAGCCTCCCGAGTAGCTGGGACTACAGGCATGCGCCACCATGCCCGGCTAATTTTTTTTTTTGTATATATATTAGTTGGCCAATTAATTTCTTTCTATTTATAGTAGAGACGGGGTCTCGCTCTTGCTCAGGCTGGTTTCGAACTCCTGAACTCAAACGATCCGCCCGCCTCGGCCTCCCAGAGAGCTAGGATTACAGGCGTGAGCCACCGCGCCCGGCCTAATTTTGCTTTTTTCTGCATAATGTTAATTAGAAATCCTTTTCTTCTCCCTTTTTATGCTAATGATTACCTCTTATTCTCTACATGCAAAACATTAAATATTTTGTGTTCAAATAAAATTAGAAAACCTGAGTGGTCCTTACAACCTGCAAAGATTGAAAACATGGCATCTCAATATTTTTGAGAATTACATTTTTTTTTACATTTGTGTTTGAGAAATGTATATGGAGTGTCTCACTGTGGGTGCTTCTGAGTACCATTCCATGGCTTCCTGAATTTTATCCTCTTTGAAGTCTCCTCTGGTATGAATATTAAATTTTTTCACTAAGGGATTACATAGCATGTCATTGTGGCTACCTTTTTATTTTATTTTAATTTTTTGCCATTTTAAGTCACTGTTTTGCTACTACTTTCCAGTAGTACCGCTGTATGTTTTCTGCAATGTGGAGTTGACTTCTGTTGACATTTTAGAATTTGTAAAAACTATTTAATTTTTCTATCAATACTTTGAAACATACATATATTTCCAATTTAAGGAATCTTTTTGCCATAGGAATGCAAGTATCATTTTCTTCACAAATTTATTCTCTTTACTTTTCAGGTGAAAATTTGGGGAAGGGGGGGATTCAGGAGGACCTGTGAAGCATGTAGTTATCTAGATCTGGACAACTTCATGTTTATCTAACTGGAACTTTGGCTAGTTCAAACTCACATTTAAACTTCACCCAGGCTTTTAATTTTTTAAACACTAAATTCAAGTCATTTGTTTAGAAGTCTCTAGAAAAGGTTGCAGTCATCTGTTCATATGCATGGAGTCTGATCTCAAATACACTAAATGTAGTGTGGGAACCAAAATGAAGCCTGATGTATGGAAACTAACTTATAGTTCATTGGTTTTTGTACCAATATTTTTTATACACTTCAGCGCAAGTTTTATCAGTTAACCTTACTTTATGAGTAAGCTAAATAATCCAAATTACATTTCTTTAATCCTGTTTTACTACTATGGCACTTTGATAAAATGGTCAGTAACCAACTTCTTTACTGGCAAAACCTTCCATGTACCATGTGCTGGAACATCTATTTTAAATGTGGATATCTATGAATGGTAATGTTTTCCTTCATTTAAGTGCCTATTCAGAGTTACAGAATTTTAAAATGCCAAATATTTTCATGGTCACTTGCATGTAGTAATCTAGAAAATATTCAAAGAGATTTTGAAAACCAATTGTATTTAACCAGCCTCAAATTGTGCAACATGATGTATAATAAAGAATTTGAAACAGAAAAAAAAAAAAAGAAAAGAAAAACAGCATTCCTCATGCAGTTTTAAATTGATTACACTGCTTAGGGTGACATATGTACAATTACATTACATAAATTGTATAATTTTCTTGTGAAAAGCATAATTATATTGCATTGTATTTTATTATGGGTTGAAAGCATTATTTTATAGTTATAAATATTTAAAATAAACTACAATTTTTGTAAATACCATTTTGTCACTTTTTAAATATTTAAAACACTAGAAACTCACAAAATGTGACTTAGATTCCTCTCAATTTCTGAGAGATTCTGACTACACGTACTTCCAGAACACTTAAAACAATATATAATTGCACATATTTATTTACCTGCCTCTCCAACTAGAATATGAGGTCCTTCAGAAGAGGCCGTTATTTATCAGTGTACTAAGTGCCTAGCAGAGTGAATAATACACAGTGCATACTTTGTAAATATTTGTGTATTTATGATCTAACACATCTAGCTGCCAGAAAGGGTTCCTTTCTTTCTAACTACAGTACTTTTGTCTTGGTCTCTTTTAGATAAAAGGGTTGGACAGAGAAGCCCAGTTCCTATTAAGTTCTTGCCGTTGCCAGTTCTAATTTTGCACTTATTTTTGCCTTTTATTTTTAAACAAGGATTCTAATACTTTTTGGGTATGTTTACTAGGGACAAGCACCCCCATTTCTAAAGTCCACTCTGCCTATTCTGCAACACTTACAAAGCCCTCCCTGGTTGTGCTGCTCTAGCCATTTCTAACACCTGCTCTCCCTATTTGTCCTTTCTCATTTCCAAGGTCTAGTCTCCTTGCTCCTCTCTCTCCTCACTTCTAAGGGTTTCCCTTACTGCTGCGCCTCATCTCATATTGAAGGTCTGAACTCGTATTCCCTCCGCCTCATTTCTAAAGACTGTTGTCCCTCTCCCCACACATTTATAACTCAACCCTCACTGCCCTGTCCCCTTCCATTTCTAAGTTCCTCCTTCACTGCCCACTCTGCTCCCTGCCTTTCTAAGATCCTCCATCCCAGTCCTACGCCTTCCTTTTCTAAGGTCTTTAGCTCTTGCTCCTCTTCCCAGGCATTTTAAATGTCTGTTTCCCTTGCCCTTCCCTCCCCACTACTAAAGCCCGCCCCCCGCCCTTTTTGAGACAGAGTCTCGCTTTGTTGCCCAGGCTAGAGTGAGTGCCATGGCGTCAGCCTAGCTCACAGCAACCTCAAACTCCTGGGCTCAAGCAATCCTCCTGCCTCAGCCTACCGAGTACCGGGGACTACAGGCATGTGCCACCATGCCCGGCTATTTTTTTCTATATATATTAGTTGACCAATTAACGAGGTCTGGCTCTTGCTCAGTCTGGTTTCTAACTCCTAACTCTGAGCGATCTGCCCGCCTTGGTCTTCCAGAGTGCTAGGATTACAGGCGTGAGCCACCGCTCCTGGCTGACCACGCCTGGCCCCCTGCCCCCTTTTGTCCGCTTTCCGCCCTCTATTTATAAAGGCTTCCAGTGCTCCTACTCTATCCCTCATTTCTAAATTCTCCTCTACCTGCTCTGCTTCTCTACCCTCACAACCTCCCCACTATTTCTGCCGTCTGCCCTCCCTCCCCTCCCCATACTCATTTCTACGTGCATTCTCCACTGCCCCGCCCCTTTTAAGTAGCTCTTGCTCTGCTTCCTCACTCTCATCTCTAAGGTGAACCCTCTTTGCCCTGCTCCTCCTTTCTAAGATCCACCCTCCTTGCTCTCGCCTCCCATCTTGAAGCTTGGATCTCATTGTTCTGCTCCTCCCCCTCTCATTTCAAAATGACCCTTGCTATTTTGTGCTTCTGCCCCCATTTCTAAAGTTTCCTTCCTCCTGCTCTGCTGCCATTCCCATTTCTAAAGTCAGCCTCCCTCCTCTGCTCAGCTCTGCTCGCTCCCCCTCTCTTAGAAAGTCTCCTCCTCTCCTGATTTCTAAGGTGGATGACAAGGAGCAGAGAAATTGGTCCAAGTAAAATCCGCTTTTTCTGGATGTGGTGCAAATGGTTTTAAGGGCTTTGGTAAAGGATTTATTTTTTCTAAGACTCCACTCTCTGTGTAGAGTTCTGAGGTGAGACAAGAAGGTACCAGCAGAGCGGGAAGGCAGTTCAGAGCAAATAACCATCCAACAAGCAAATCACCAATCACCCCTTTGATACACCAGCCCGAAGCAAATCAACCCAACAAACACCCCTTCGAATAACTACGCGCCAACAAGCAAATCCACCAATCACCCCTTTGAATAACTACGCGCCAACAAGCAAATCCACCAATCACCCCTTTGAATAACTACGTGCCAACAAGCAAATCAACCAATCACCCCTTCGAATAACTACGTGCCAACAAGCAAATCAACCAACCACCTCTTTGAATAACTGCCAACCAACAAGCAAATCAAGCAACCAAGCACCCCTTAGAACTAGCAATCAGGATCCCTAGCAAAGTACCCCAAACCTTGTTCGTCCCAGGCCTGAAATCTAGTCATTTCTGACATGCATGCGCTTGCAATGAGAAGAGCGCGTGGCCCCGCATGTTTGAAGGCGGGTACTTGGTATCATTTCTTAGGAGGGTAAACTATACTAAAATAGTCATCTTTTTATTTTCCCCACCTCATCATTGCAGTAACCTTTACTCCCCACGCAATTTCTGTCAGCTTCCTTTAGAATTTCCCACCTGAGGGAGGAGAGGGCTGGAGGCGTGGGGCAGTGGAAACAGAGAGGGGGGTGGGCAGGGGCCGAGCTGGCCTGGGGTTCCCGGGGCACAGGGACGCAGAGAGGGAAGCCTCTCCACAAAGGGGTGTGCTCCTTACTCTAGTCTGTCCTAAGCCAAGGTCTCCTGCTCAAAGCCAGCGAGACCAGACTAGTGGGGGCTGGGATCTGGGGTCTACATACCTAGAGACATATCCATATAGGGCAGGCTTCCTGCGTTGCCAGAGTCTGGCAGCACCTTCCCCAAAAATGCTACCTTTGAAAGCGAAGTCATCTTCTCAGTGTGACTGCACCACAAGCCGCCAGGGCTTATGTAGCGCCCCCTCACTGCTTGGTCTCCCAATCACAGCCTTTCCCTTGACTGTTGCTAAGGCCCAAGGGGTGGAGCTTGCCACATACCCTTACTAGGTGTCCTATCAGAAGCTTGGCTCAGCAGAAAAAAACCAAAGACCCACCCATCTCCCACCCCCTCACCTTCCACTATTCCCACCCCCACCTTTCTAAACTTGTTCTCACCTCATGGGCACCCACCACGGAGTCAGCCTCGTGGACTGTGAACTTTTGACCCTTGCCTTTCATAGCTCATAAAACCCATCTCTCCTTTTTGCTGTTGGCACTCCTGGCAAATAAAAGCTTATGTTCTTGACTTGGTAGGGTGGTTCTCTCTTCTCAAATTCACAGAAGTGACCACAAGTCTAGCATCATCGAGAGCCCATTCACAGGTATGCAATGCCACATGCTTTTCGATGACCTCCTTAAAAGTGTGTCTATGACATTTCTTAAGAAAAATGTGATTGTTCCTGTTATTGCCTACATGCTGCTCAATAAACCCTATTTTAAGGAAGAATCTTGGCATTGGTTCTTCAGAGGAAATAAAAATCAAATTAATAAGTTTTGAAAGCTGAAGGCATGTATAAGCTGTTACACAAGGTCACAACATAAATTGTGATTTTGAAATGTAAATTTACTATTTGTTGCATTTAAGTAAATGCTGAGCACCTAGAACCTAAAGATTGCTAAATAAATCTTTGTCTCAAGGCACATACACTTGCCTAAAGAAAATAAATAAATGCAAAATATTAATTTAGGTGCTATAATTTAGTCTGGCAACAAACACTGAGTTCCTACTGTGTTATGTTATGGGGATACATGCATCTACAAAATGTATTTGGTACTCAAAGGAGAAAAACCCTCTAAAGAATAAAAATAATTCATTTAAATCTTGAAAAATTAGGGAATAATTGTAGAGGTGGGAATGATAGCTCTTGGCAGAGGAAGCAGCCCTACCAACAGTCTCTGGAAAGTACTAGCAATTCCATCTGGTAGGGTACTGAGAGATGAGTCTAAAGAGAGTAGCAGAGATGTAAATCATGGAAGGACTTTTATATCATGCTAAGGGTTTGGGGCTTTTTTCCCTGTTACATTTATTGAGGTATGAAGTGAGAAGGGAAGAGGACCAAGGAATCCCAAGGAAATTACAAAGAAAATTGAGTACAACATATCAGAGAGATATGGAAAGAACCAGGAAATAGGTATCCATGAAATAAAGGGAGAATCCGAAGAAGAGCCTACTAGTCTATCTACAGCAATCAAGGATTGCTGTAAGGTCAAATTAGCTAAAGAAGGAAGAATTTATTAAGTTTAGTAATTAAGAGGTTTGATTTTTTTGCCTTCAGCAGAGTTCTAGCAGGCTATAAATTGAGGAGTAACTGATTCATTTTTCTTTAAGAAACACTTATAGCGTTTACTATCTGCCAGACACTGTCGTAAGAGCTTAATATTTGATTATTTAATCCTCAAAACAACCGCATAACATAAGAATTAGTATTATCTCGTTTTCACAGGCAAGGAAATTAAGGCACAGAGGCATTTTAAAAAGTCACCCAAGGACACATAGCTAGTAAATGTTGGAGCTAAATCGTGCTCTAAAAATAATCCTTTTGACCACTACCTGTACACAAGATAGAATAGGGTGTTTTTTTTTTTAAACAGGAAATATGTAATTAAATGTGCTTATAGGCCATGGGAAAGGAACTAGGAAAGAGAGAGACATTAAAAACAAAGGAAAGGGAATAAGGAAATAATCAATAGATTCCTTTTTTTCCTTAGGTTTTGGAATTGAGTCTAATAGAGATTGTGCCAGGAGACAACTTTGAGAAAGAGAGACATCATACTTTCTTTAAAATTGCTTCTCTTCTTCTCTTCAAATAATGGTAAGACTTGTATTTGATGAATCCGATCTTGCAAAATTTTTCTTCTCTTAGGAGATGTTCTCTGCCTTTATTCAAATAGGTTCAGAGTCCTCTGCTACATAAGGATTAATGTATAGTTTAGAATGTTGTTTCTCCAAATCAACTGTAGAAGAACAGTAAGGGTATTTTTTAGTCAAGGGTCTTTTCGTTGGTAATAACAGAAACTTACTTTAACTAGGTTAAAAAAAAGAGGGGATTTATTGGAAGAACACAATGAAAGTCAGCAGCATGAAGTATAGTTTGTCCTCAAAAGAGACTGGAACCTGGTTAATTTATTTGACATACCAGCAGTCAATTGACACAATTGATTACTCCTTCTTCCTTGAATTGCTTTCTTCACTTGACTCCTAGGACATGCACTTTCCTAGGTTTCCTTCTATCTCACTGGCTGCTCTATTTGAATTTTCTTGTCTGGTTTTGCCTCAACTCACTGACTTCTAAACCATTGGAATCACCTGGAGGACTTATTAAACCATAGCTTGCTGGGCACTGCTCCCAGAGTTTCTGATTCAGTAGGTCTGGGGTAAGACATGAAAATATACATTTCTAACAAGTTTCCCAATGATGCTGATGTTGCTGGTCTAGGGCTCAAACTTTAGAACTCTGCTTTAAATAATGGAGACAGAGCTCAGCCCTTAGACAATTTCCCTGGAGACAGAGCTCAGCCCTTAGACAATTTCCCTGTTTCCATTCACTGTCTTCATGATATCATCCAGTCTCATTATCTTTCAAAAGTAGCTATACACTGATGTCTCCTAAATTTGAATCTCTAGCTCAGACCTCTCCACTGAAAAGTTGTATAACTGACTATCTACTCAACATCTTTACTCAGATATGCAATGGTCATTTCAAACATAATTTTCCAAATCCAAATTCTTATTTTACTTCATAAACCCCACTGCTCCTACATTCTTCCCCATTTTGGCAAATGGCAACTCCATTCTTCTATTTGCTCAGGCCAGAAATTTATAAGTCATCTTGACTCTTTTTCTTCTTTTACACCCTACATCCAGTCCATCTGCAAGTCCTGTGAACTCTACCTTCAAAACATACAGCCGTCCCCAACCTTTTTGGCACCAGGGACCGATTACATGGAAGACAATTTTTCCACTGCTGGGTAGGGTTGGGCCCGAAGATGAGCTCAGGCGACGATGTACAGCCTGGTTCCTAACAGGCCACTGACTGGTAATTGGGCTGTGCCTTGGGGGTTGGGGACCATAGAAAATATACATAGAATCTCACCACTTCTCACCACCTCCACTACTACCATCTTGATTCAAGCCATTATCATCTCTTTCCTGGCTTACTGCAATAGTTTTCTAACTGATCTTTCTACTATTGCCCTGCCCCACTATGTCCACTCTCCACACAGAAGCCAAAGTGAGCCTTTTCAAACATCAGTCAGATAATTGCACTATTCTCAAAATCCTCCAACGATTCTCCATCTCACATAAACTTCAAAATCTTTAGGATGGCCTATAAAGTCCTGCATAATTAGCTCATTCACTCATTCTGCTCCAGCCACACTGGTCTTGTTCCTTGAATACTCCAACCATGTTCCCTGCCTCAGGGCCTTTGCACTTTCTGTTCCTTCTGCCTGGTATGCTTTTCCTCTAAATATTTGCATGGCTTACTTTTTCAGGTTTTTCTTCAAACATTACCTTCTCCGTAAAGCCCAATGTGTCCATTATATTTTAAATTAAATTCTCACCCTTTGTACTTGCAATCCTCCTTCCCTAATTTTTCTCCATTGTATAATATTAATCACCACCTGACAGTCTATATATATTTACCTATTTTGTTTTTTACTGGTCTCCCCCCCCCAACACACACACTAGAATGTAAATTGCATAAGGGCAGAGATTTCTGTCTGATTTGTTCACTGGTGTATCCCTAGCACATAGAACAGTACCTGTCACATAAAAGGTGTTCAATAAATATTGTTGAATGAATCCATGAAGGAATGAATGTAAAGCCATTGAGCCTATCCACTTCTCTCTTGCTCTCATTTTTCTTTCTCTGAATATCTCGTTTCTCTGAATACCAGCCTTTTTTTGCTTATTTGTGTGCAGAGCCTAAATATGGTCATTCCTCCACCCTATATCATATTAGTTAAAACACTGACAACTGAATGACCAAGAATCTGATTGTTCTAACTGAGTCAAGGACATCTATTTTTGTGGTCAGTCAATCGTGGCCAGCATCATATATAAAACCATAGCTGCAAAAACCCATTTGTGTGTGTGTGTGTGTGTGTGTGTGTGTGTGTGTGTGTGTGTAGGGGGAAGATTTCAGAAGAGGAAGTTTTGGGTTTCATAGATGTCTCAAGAAGTAACAACTACATTGGCAACCTGGCCTAGGAGAGGTACATGTGAAAAATACACTTAGGTGATTTTGATGGCTAGTTATTAATAGGAGTCAGCAGTGGGATGTGGCTGTTAAAAAAAATCAAATGATACTTTTCTAGGGAAATTTTGCCTTTGCTTTGGATGCTTGCCAAATGAAACTCCTTCTTATTTTTGTAAAAATCCCACCATTAAGGCCGGGGGCAGTGGCTCACGCCTGTAATCCTAGCACTCTGGGAGGCCAAGGCAGGTGGATTGCTTGAGGTTAGGAGTTCGAAACCAGTCTGAACAAGAGTGAAACCCAGTCTCTACTATAAATAGAAAGAAATTAATTGGCCAACTAAAAATATATAGAAAAAATTAGCTGGGCATGGTGGCGCATGCCTGTAGTCCCAGCTACTCGGGAGGCTGAGGCAGCAGGATTCCTTGAGCCCAGGAGTTTAAGGTTGCTGTGAGCTAGGCTGACGCCATGGCACTCACTCTAGCCTGGGCAATAAAGTGAGACTCTGTCTCAAAAAAAAAAAAAAAAATCCCACCATTAGAGTCCTATTGTGAGGTAGAGCCTGCCTCCTCTTATAGACCAAGAAAATTCCCAAGAAACTAGAGCAAAGATATATTACCTAGACTTGTCTAATCAAACACACTCATCCCATATGGAATCTGTCATTAGTAA